GTATGCGTGTGTGTCTGTCCAGTCGTATATTTTAAGCTGGTACATGTTTTGCAAGTTTTGTGCTGCTGCAAGCAGTTTCTATTTCTAATTGTGTCGCCTCTGAAATATGCAGCCAATGATTTATTATACCTAGGTAAGTGCTTGTACAAAAAAAAAACAGAGATCCTCTTTAAAGTTGCTGCATGAAATCCTGCTATTGATCAACTTGTCAAACACACAGAACATGTTTTGAGCCTAAGCTGAGACAGCTTATCAACTCGTTAGTTAAAAGTCATGCGATAAAAGAAAAGCAAGCAAGAATGTTTTCATTAAGAATTGAGGACTTGCAGATACTCTGCACTTAGGAAAGTTTTGTAAACAAATAAATATATATGTGCATAAATAAATACCCAAGCTGCGGGCTATGAATTTGGATAAAGATGCAACAAAATAAATCATTTTCCAGCCAATTATAAAATTGTTCTTAAATTCTTATGAGTGTTTTAATAACAACATTAACAGGTGCTTACCCATTTTTACCCAAGAATAAAAACTTTATATAAATAAATATTAAACACAGTTAAATATAAATAAAATGCATATTAATAGCTAAAACATATAGTAAAAAACCATAAAACATTATATGTGAGTATTAAAAAAGGATATTAACACATTTTTCATCTAACATAAGGTTGTTTCCGTATTTTTTTAATATTTAAATTCAACTTAGCTTTTACTACCATTTTATGTCACTCCTATGTAAATTTGCTTAATATTTAATTTCCGACCTAATGCTCTAAAGTCTTAGAGTTGAGTCTATTGGCATTTTGAAAAGGCCTCATTCAACCTCGCAGTAAAAATGCATTTTTTCAATATAAATAATTTGGTAAATAAAAAATATTATAGGCACATTTTGAGCCAATACATTCTAAATTTCTAAATTTACTCCGAAAAATTACCTGACGTTTTCGCGCGAGAACTGACTTTTTTATTTTTTTATTATTTATTTTTTTTTTAATTGAAAGAGCTTAGCTGAGTATAAAATATTCCAACAAAATTTGTAGTTGGCCAAAAATGTATTTTGGTATAATTCAAATAAAATCTATTTACTTTTTTTTTGTTACTTACCATAATCGTCCTTCAGTCTCTTTCTCACCCGCTATCACTCTCTCTCTCTCTCCCTCTCTCTGAAGAGCATGCAAATGTTCAGAGACGAGTTTTAGTTTATGTTTTCAATTTCATCAACATAAACTAAAACGAAAAAGCTATTAACTCGAAATGCAACTGCGAATGTCCGAGTGGATGGATAAGCTGAAACCGGAGCAAAAGAAGGTGCATGACTTGGTCGGACTGTGGAATGTGGACTGTGCTCTTGGGCGTGGCCCCATTTCCCTCTTGAATTTGCGCAAATTTACACGAATTTGATTATTATTATGATGGCAATTTGCAAAAATGTCATCTTTCAAGAGAGGGGGAATAAAAAAACGAAAACATAGTCGGACAAACGGAAATTTCTCATTGCGCAAAGTGGCAGAGGACTTGTTGGCTAGAAACAGGGTGCCCCGATAAGTGGAAAGGCTGCGCGATTTGCTGGTCAGCGGAGTGGTTACCCTGTACATAAAACAGAGTCCTTGGCATCAATTGTGCCTTCCACCTAACAGAAATTTATAGTCCTTAACAAGCTGTGCGTCTTGTTGCCATTCGCTTATCGCGGTCGCCCATAATTATGACGCACTTTGTGGCAAATGCTGAGGCTCAGGATAGAGCTGGTGCTGGTGCTGTGGCTGTGGCTGTGGCAACGGACGACGGCAGAGTCAGCTCTCGTCCTTCGTGTGCTTCCTTCGTCCGGCACATCCTGCAGCAGGATGTTCAATTTTCGCTTGCCTCTTATTTCGCTTTGCCATTTTGATTTCCTTATTTGCCTTGTCGCGTTTTGCATTCATTTGCCTTTGCACTTTATCTGCCAACGTTGCATTACTTTAAGTGGCAACAAGCCACGCCCCCAGCCCCTACATCGAGCCACACCCGTTTCACTTGGCTTCTGCCGCTCCAGCTGCGGCTCGGTAAAATTATCTGCTGGCAAAATCAAAAGTTTTACGCTTTTAAGTTGGGGCCAAGTAGCAAGTGGGCGTGTTAGTCAGACACAAGCGCCCTGGATTTGTGTCAAGGACACAACGCCCCGAGCTTTTGGCGGCAAATTCGAGAAATTATTGCGGAAAAGGAAAACAACACCGCAAACATTGTTTAACTTTCATTGCCTTTTCCCTTTGCTTTACAACAGCGCACACAAATTGCCAATGAAAAGCAGCTCCCAACCCTTTTAACTCTTCAGGAAATGCTGGCAGCCTTATCGACCACACGACGAAGCCCCAAATGCAGTGTGCTTAATGGACAAGGTTAACAATGCAAATTCGTAAATAATTTGATATGTATTAGGTTTTTATGGATCCAATAAAAATTCGTGGTTATGTTCTACTAAACCAACGTACACAGAACAAATTTAATTATTGCACACAAGCGTGCAGATCTTAAATTAAAATAATTATTATGTTAAAAAATAACAAAATAAAAAAAATATTGTTTCAATATTTAATTTTTTTATGGAAAATAATTTTCTTACAATATTTGTAATATGTAATATGTAAATTTACTTCAAATAATATTCCGGCTATATATATTTTTATGAGGGATATTCCTAACTTAAAAAATTTCAGCTTGATTGTCGAAAATCAATCGATAATTTAATTACTCCTGTGACATGATTTTTAAGCTAATCGATATATTCCTGTACCATTTAAAATCTACTCATTGCAGTAAATGTATATAGCTAAGAATAGCTGACATAAATACAACATTTATTATTTCCGAGACATTTTATTTATACTAGTTAATTTAAGCCTGTACCATTTAAAATAAACGTATTGCAAATGTTTCTTAACTGGAAATAGCTTGAATTAAATGTATCAAGACTTACGGCGGCTAAGTAAAGCGCAATCATCAATTTATAATGAGAGACATATATATATATATATATCTTACCATGGTAGTTAGATTCACTTTAATAACGATTCTCGACTGCAAATGCAATTTTATGTAAAGTAATATTTCTATGCATTTAGCTGGGCCTAAGCCGCAGCTTAACGAGTTCTCAAGTCGAATTACAACTTTAAATTGACTTGCCTGGCACACAAATACACTCACAAGCACTCACTAGTATTCGCATCTTATAAGATTTACGTTTCTGGGTCATACAAAAGACGAACAATGTGCGGTCTGTCTTATGGCTACCTCAAGTGGCTTACTTTAACAACCTGACAAAAAGTTAGCGGAGAAAGTATCTTGCGAGTGTGTGAATGCGAATGTAAATGTGAATGTGAACGTGAATACGAGCATGTGTGAATGTGTCGTTTGGGTGTGAATGCAAGTAACTCACAAAAGTGCATGTAAGAGGCGCCACAAGAACTGCAAAAGGACATGGAAGCACGGAGCTCTTACCTTGCCATTGATGAGACTTTTATGCGCATCTATAAGCCCCGTCCTGTGCGCATATTTTGCAATCCAATCCTACTGAGCCCACCCCCCTCCCGACACGCTGCTGTCAAATCATTCGTTTAATTTCATTTTCATGCGGCTGCCAGCGCTGAACTGGTCCTAGGCAACCCGGACAAGATGTCAAAGTTCCTGGAACTTCATTAAGGCAAATCTGACAGGCAACTGAGCGCAAAACCGAATCCCTTCACGGCCAGCCACTTGTGGATATGTCTGTATTCCGAGTACTGATTTTCTTTTTGCCATGATGACGGCTCAAGCTGGGGCTTTGTTCTGGGCGGCAAAATTAAATGAACCAGAAACTTGGCAAAAGTATTTTAGCCAGTGGAAATGTTGATGATAGGCCTTTGACTTTTTGTGGCCTGCAGCGGTAAACGGACTCTATAAATTGGACTACATTCATTTTATTTTCAAGTTTGCGACATGACAGAAAGGATTAAATAATGAAGTCGTTATTATTACATATCTAACGAATGAAAAATAAATAGGTATTACTTGATTAAGAGCTTGAATCATAGGCAAAGGAGAAGTGATAAAGTGCAATAAACTAAACTAAATATTTTTGAAAGAGAATCAAGTTTTTATCAAGGCTATTTAATATCTTAAACTGTTGCAAATATGGTTAAACCTAGTCAGTTTTAAAAACTATATAAATATTCTTTATTTAAGCAGTAGGGCATTATATATTCGCTCACGTCCCACCTGACTCTGTGGTGCTACCTTTTGAACTTATTCGGATTCGCATTGCTGATTGTGCAGGGCGCAAAGTTTGCCGCTTCAAAGTTGTTCATAAGTATTTTGCTAGGGGTAAAATAACTTTGATATCAACTTGGCAAGCAAAGTCTCTCAACAACTGCCACCGCCCCCTTTCCAAGGCTAATCAACTGTGGTCTTGGGTTGCCATGACAGGCAGATTTGCATAAAGTTTAGAAAATTCTAAGAGTAGCCGAAAATACAGAACAGTTTTTGATTGCGTCAATGCAATTATTGACCAATCGACTGACAACTGCCGCAGAGAAAGAGCAAAAATATTTCAATAACAATTCAATGTTCTGAAAATATACACAGAACTTTTTAATTGCATGTGATAAATGCCTAACATTACATTTTATTGTTATTTCTATATTTCGTCCTCTGCATTGATTGGACTTATATTTGTTTGGTCGGAGTTCCTGATTTAGAGCGCTGGAAAAGTTTTTGCTGAAAATCTTTTTAATTTCAATTTATTTTATTTAGAAATCAATATTACTTTTTTGCCATCAAATTGATTAACATAGTTTGACTGAATCTATTTCATTCCTAATGTCAGAATTCGCATCCGAATGAAAAATAAACACTTCTTAAACATTTATATTATCTTAATTAATCTTAGAATTCAATTTCTTATTTTTATTCTTTTTGGTCTTTATAATTTTTGGTCTTGCAATGGATATCTAAGGTCTGTCAAAACCAAATCCAAGCAAGAGAATAGAATATTTCTGAGTATTTCTCCCAAGTCCTACATGTCAACTCAGATTTTGAAGAGCTCCCATTATAGCCTTATGAAATTTAACAGCATCTGGCATTCGCTGGGCGCCCTCAGCTGTGGATCCCTGGCGACTTATGTTAGCCTGAAGCTGCTCGATCGGCGCCAGACACATGAGGTATATAGGGAAGAGGAGACGTCGTGCAAAAGCATCTGGCACCACGACTGGGACCGTCGGAAGCCCCTTACCAGCACTCTCAAAGGCCAGGCGAACATTATCCACGAGGAAGCTGTAGCCCTGCGTCACATTGTGCTAGTGCGGCATGGGGAGTACACATCGTCGCCAGATGGCGGCCATCTCACGGAGCTGGGGCGGCTGCAGGCGCATCGGACGGGCCAGCGCCTGCACGAAATGGGCGTGGCCTGGGATCATGTGGTGGCCTCGACAATGACGCGCGCCCAGGAGACGGCCATGATCATACTAAAACAAATCAACTTTGATCCGCTCAAGATGAAACGCTGTGAGCTGCTGCCAGAGGGCACGCCCTGCCCAGCAGATCCGCCACAGAATCGCAGCGTTGCCAGCGTGGAGCAGGCCTTTCGCCGAGATGGACCGCGCATTGAGGCCGCCTTTCGACGCTACTTTTTTCGCGCCTCGCCCGAGCAGAAGCACGATTCCTACTTGCTGATCATTGGCCATGCGAATGTCATACGCTATTTGGTCTGTCGTGCCTTACAGTTCTCGCCCGAAGCCTGGACGCGCTTCAGTCTGCATCATGGCTCCATTACCTGGCTGACCGTCTGGCCCACTGGCTACGTGACGCTTCGCTGCCTGGGTGATGTGGGCTTTATGTCCGTAGATGAGCTGACTCTTCGACGGCCCAGGACCATTAAGGAAAAGGTCCATTAGGGCATATTTTACTGGTGTAATATATAAATTGTCTTAGCGATATTAAATTTGTATACAGTCGTATGTTTGTTATGTATAAAATTAAACAGTTGATAATTATATAGAGCACGAAATTTGCGTAATTGCAAAGTTAATTAGATAAAAATGTGGAATTAAAACTCCAATTATAAAATCTTTTTAATTAGTCGATTTTAAATAAAGTTGGTAAAGTTTTAACTCTGAAGAACTTGTGAATATTCATTTGTGTAATATTCATTTAACTTCCTTTTAGTGTTCAAATTTTACATATAATATTTACAAAGGTTGCAAATTTGAGATTTTATTTGCATCATATTTCTATATTTATATTAATAAAGTTTATCGCTAGAATTAAAGAGAAAAGCATTAAATCAAAAGAATTGTAAGGTTAATAAAACAAGCTTTTATTTTCATAAGATAAAACAAACATAATTCAGTGTTTTCAAAATGTAACGACCTCTATATTATTCAATGTGGATAGAACAAGGGGGAGATATCGTTAATTAAAAATAAAAGCGTGATATTCGAAATTCAAGATGAAAAGTTGAGCACATTCAGCTCTCTTTGGCTGTGGAATCCAAGCGTTCATTAAGACAGACGGCGTACAAATATTTTTATTTTTGGGCACATGTTTAATGGGATAGTATTTTATTTTATTCAGCATCTACCCACACTTGAGGACTTAATTTACACACAAATTTTCGGCACGCACTTATGGTCGTCTGTATAAGTAAATGTATGTGTGCGTGTGTGTTTATGTGTGTATGTGTGCTGGCTTCATTTGTAGCCAGACTTTTTGGCATTATAATTTCCAATGGCTTTGCATACTTACCAACCGGAACGTGACTTTTATGTCCATTTTGTGCCATGCGAATGCCGTTGCAGCTGCTGGCAACGGAAAAATCTCTATAACTTTCGGCAAAATCACTTTGGGCGACGCCTGCGGTTGCCACGCCCACAAAGTGTCAGGCCAGCGTAGTTACCACATTTGTGCACTCTTTCGGCATTGTCCCTGCTCATTAGTGCGGCTTTAATTTCGCTTTCCTGATGTTCGGTTTTGGTTTCGGGAACGGTTTTGGTCTCGGTTTCGGTTTTGGTTTTGAATGTGTTTCTATTTTCATTGCTGGCTGTCGTCATTTCATTAAATTTTCATCCTAACAATTTGAATTTAATTTGCGCGGCCACAAAATTGCATTACTTTTGTCTGTCGAGCAATTTCAACGCCTGTCAGCTATTAGGTATTTGCACATTGTTGCTGGAATTTTGATAACAAAAAAAAAATATAAATGTGTTTCCTTCGTGCTGCTGTGCGTCGTCTCTGCCAAGTTCTCGACGTCTGTTTAACCCACAAAGCATGCTCCTCTTGCTATCCCATTGTCCACCCGCAGTCTGACAAGTCTGACTATATCGATTTTCTAAATATAAGATATATTTAAGCTATTTACTCTGAACCGCACATATGGCCAGCTGAGGGTCAATAGAATCCCTTTAAGTAAGCTTTTACAATATGTTTATGTTGGTTATAGAAATATAAGTTTAAGTGTAGTTGAGGACGAGAGCACTTTTCATAGATTAGCGTGCCAGCTTTTTTCTTATAGTATTCAAAACTTAATAAATTTGTTTTTCTCAATCTAATGAAGAATGTTTTAATTTTATTACTTTGAAATTTTTAAAAATGTAATGATTTGAAAGTAACAGTCTTGTTAAGATTTCAATTAAATATCCTCAATAACAAATTTAAATAAAATTAATAAAATTATAAGATAAAATGATGGATACATAAAAAAAACATATTATCTCTTTATATAAAACTGTTTATCCTGACTGACTGACTCACGGACGCACAGCCCAAACCGTAAGAGCCAGGAAACTGAAATGTTCACTGTAGTTACCTTATGTGATGATGGTGCACGTTAAGACGGGGTTTCGAGATATTCCAACCGCATGAGTGGAAAAATCGCAATAAACGTTTGAATGAAACTTTTTTGTTCACCATCCAAACTACCGTCAAACTAATTTTCAAGGAAAAATCCATTCCTTCTTGGTGGAAATGGGGGCCAAAGATTTGATGGGTGACGTTTCGTGCTCAAATTTATTTCGTAAGATCATTTTTTTCAAAGATCAGTGTGAGAATTTATTTGATATATTATTGGGTGGCAAATTCGGGTCAAGGATTTAATAAACGAAAGTTTATTCTTCAGCTTCAAGATTCTCACCGCTAGTCTAACATGGGCGGAACCCGATGCACTTAAAACATATTTTCAAATAGAAGTGGAGATCAAGGTAGGTAGATTTAGATTTAGACTTAGTGGAAAGATAATATTTAAAATTTTTAGCACAAAACGTCCCACGGGCAAGACCGGGCAATACCCGCCAGTATATAATAAAGTAAAATCAAAAACAAAAAAAATATCTCTCAAAAAAACTTAAATTTTTTATTGAGGAAAATGTTAATTTCGAAAGGTAAGCCATAAGTGGAATAGCAAAGACTCCAATTATGTACATACAGTATATAGTAGATAATATATAATGTGAAAATGTAAGCAAACACGAATAGAGCCTCACGGCTCAAGTTGCACTTGATCCTGTTCCTTTTGATCCTGCGAAAATATGTGACGCATGGCCTTGCGCTTGCGCCGCTGGCTGCAACTGCCGCAAATGCGCATCGAGAAGAAATAGACAAGCTCTATAAAGCTTAAGCTGGAGATGCCCATGAATAGGCCAAAGATGCCGCCACAATTGGATATCAGAGTGGATACGCCAAACAGAATCGTACGCTTAATGGCCGTAAACTGATGCTCCTTGAAGTACACGGTCAGACGAGAGCCAATGGCGCTGCAAATGTGTGCATATATATTAGAAGCCGCAGATCAGATACAGATGCATATATATACGTACTCCGTGTGCTCGTACACCTCGCGAAAAGCGCGAATTGTCTTCTCTACGTTGTAGAAGGCACGAGAGATCTCAAAGTTGTACTCCAGCGAGGTGCAGGCGGGCATACAGTTGCACATGACCTTGGCATTGGGGTCGAGGCTCTGCTGTATCGTCTGGTTCTGCAGCAGGCTGTAGAGCTCGTCCTGAGCGGCAGTGTAGCAGCCAATGCTCTCCAGACCGCAAACTGGTACATCCAAGGGCTCTGCAAGTAAGTGACGGTTTGAATTTTGCACCATACGATAGTCGTGAGTCGATAGTCACGCACTGGGCATCCAGAATTTGACGCAGCCACACTTGGCCATTGTAAAGTTGGCCAGACACTCGGTCTGGCAGTTGCTCTGCGAGTAGCTGCGGAAGAACCTAAGAACGCGCTCGTCATCGAAGTAGCACTGACGTCTGTTGAATAAGATGAACGATATGAATGTAAACTGTTATGTTATAAATGTTATGCGTGGTCTAAATATTGTGAATGCTATGAATATTTTGCGTGCTATAAATATTTTGCTGAGAAAAGTTTGAATATGTAAATTGCAAAGAGCGTAATGAATGTTACAAATAAAATGGATGGATATGTAATATTATGTAAGAAATGTATTAACTGTAAAAAATGTGGAAATGTTTTGAATGTTTTGCTTGTTGTGAATGTTTTGAGTGCTACGAATGTTATTACTGCCATAAGTAAGTATTTTTAATGACATGCTATGAATGTTTTGAATTCAATGAATGTTATGATCTTGTCTTATAAATGTTACGAATGTATTGGGTCGAACGTTAATATTCTGTATATTATATGTGCACATTAAAGGGTTTTCGACGTATTGAGTGATGTATAATATTCTTTACCTCTTGTGTTATCAGGGGTAATTTCATACTTGATATGAATGTTTTGAGTGCTATGCATGTTATGAATGTCATGACTGCTATTAGTATATTGAATAACACTATAATGATTTTACGAAATTAATTTTGTGTGTTACAAATGTTTTGAATATCATGCGTCTTATGAATGTTACAAAATATTGTCTTTAACGTTAATAATTAACGTATACAATAAACACCTAAAGGGCATTTAAATGCATTGAGTGTTATTATTTTCATCATGTGCTGTGGGTGTCTCTGATGTGCTCACTTTTCAGGGCTAATTTCATGCAAATTATCCGTGGACACGACATAGTTGGGCAGCACGCTAACCATGACTTCATGGCCATGGGGCACCAGTATGTAATTGCCGGAGGTGAGCGGCACGCTCTCCGGAGAGTTAAGAAATACCTGCAATGAAAAATTGATGAACACACCCAGAACCGCTTATGACGTATATATATGTTACACTATATATTACGCACCTTATAGCCTTGCTTAAAGCTGCGACAGTCGTAGTCGTAATTGTGCTCCAGGCCCTGAAGAAAGGCAAAGAAACCGTTGCGAACCGAAGAGGCCACCGTGCGCTGTGGATACGAGTTCTGGCCTTGATTTACGAAGCCCGAATCCAGCGACCAGTTGCCCTTAATTTCATTAAGTCTGGGCAAATCCTGGTCAAAGTAGTTCTGAAAATCAACCTCATCCGGATCCACGTAGCTGACATAACGCTCATCGCGATATATATCCCTGGGTCTCAGTCCATTGAACTGATAGCAAATGCCCTCGTCCGTGGCCACAAAGTCAAACAGCTTGTCGCAAAAGTAGAACCGACCATTCCAGCGGCAAAATGGGCCCGTTTCATTCTTCGATATGCTCAAACCCACCAGCGTCTCGGTCACATCCTGCGGTTGCTTGCTGCGCAGGTTCGACAACAGCGGCGCGAATTTGGCAGCCACATCCGAGTCACAAATGTGCATTGTCGCGGCCAGGCGCTCCAGACTGTAAATAAATATATAATAAAAAGTGTGTTTTAGTCCAAACTTCAATTTAACGATTTCCACTCATTTTCCGCTCGCGAAAGTTTTCCTTCTTGAATCGGTGAATAAGGTAAGCAGAATAAGCAGAAAAATAAGCGCTTTCTATCTCTACATACCTTAAACGTATTTATTTTATGGGACAATACTCAACTCTTGCTCGTCCACGGTGGAGAATTGATTGTTTTCCTTAAAGTCCTGCCAAATCTGTTGTGAGATGTTCGCATAGTCGAAGACATTGCGCTCCATTTTGATTTCCGGGCATATGGTTATGGTGGGGAATGGTATTTTATGCACGGGTACCAGCGTCTCGTCGAAGCCCAATATGACCGGCGAGTCTTGCCACTTCAGGTAGGTGGCCCAAATGAGCGAAACCGCAAAGTAGACCGACGTGCAAGTCAGCACCAGCCAGTATAATCTGCGAACACACACAGACACACATTTAGCCGGATACTGGACAACACTTAAGGACACGCACGCACTTCTCATAGATGGGGCGATGCACTTCAAATATGTAGCGTATGCCGTGTATGGTGGTGCTCTTCGAGTACTCCAGCAGAAGACCCTTGCAGGCGGACAGACGACTGCCGTATCGGATCCGAGATTTGATAATCACATCGCTCGGCACATCGCTAAGCGCCGCCGAAGTGATGCTGGCGCGTTGGTAGTCGAATCCCGGCAAGGCCAACAGCTCCGGACCCGGCAGCAAGCAGCTGGGCTTCTCCTCTTGCACCACGGTTGCGGCCATGTTCCATACGCCTCCACGCACGTCGATGCCTCAACTAAGCTGGCCCGTTATGCGACCTGCGGTTTTATAGCCAGCGCACAAATGGGTGTGTACACGGCTCATTCCTGTGGGATGTCGCACTTAGTGCACGGGGACTCGGGAATGCCGCGTTGTCCATGTACTTAGTCTAATTGCTGGCTTATATAAGGGAGAAAATTAAGTATGGTTCTGGCACTTTTATGTATTACAAAGTTTTCAAATTTTAAAGAACACTTTAATGCTTTAAGGTATTTAAATTGACGAACCCATGTGTTTCGAGAGCTCTTCATATGACTTTTCTCACTCAAGTTTATGTGAATGTACTAGAATAGGACTAACGAGAGAATAGTACAAATAAATAATTTAAGATTGCGATTTTAATAGGATAGGAAGAAAACTTATATCCACATTTAAAAAGTCAATGCCCACGGCGACATCGCTAAAATAACCTCCCGACTGTTTCCCAATTTTTAATAATTGTCGATAGTTTTAATTGTTTACTTTCCATTTACAATTTTGGTTATTTTTTGCACAAAATGCAACATTGCAAATTTGTATTAAATGTTAAATTATCGACAAAAAATTAAAAAAAAATATTTTAAATCGAAATACTTAAGTTTTGAGAAAGAAATTGAAATTTTTGAAAAGATATTGCTTTACAAAGTCAAAACTATTATAGCAGTGTTTTACATATGATAATGTCTGAAGGAAAGAAACAGTACTTAATAAATGTATATCTAAGTACCACGCATTTATATTGCCTAAATCGCAGCCCTCACTTTCATACTTGTGTAAATGGGTAAAACAAATTTTTGGGTTTATTAGTTGAGCCCATGGTTCTAATAACCAAAATGGCATATTTGCCCATTATTATTCCTTTCTTGGCCACAGCATTTACAAAAAGATAAGCTTATAGGCTATGGCTGTATCTCAAGGAACACACGGAACATTTGCAAAAGTAAAAAAGAACCAATCCGCGAAATGTGCTTATAGAGCAAAGTGGTTGTGTCAATTCTGGAATACTTTTAGGGAAGTTTACGTGAGTGGCAGCCGCAACTGTAAATGCAACTTGAATTGGAACTGCAATTGCAGATGTTGTCAAGTTTCGTTTGATGCCATTTCAGAGTTTAAGTTTTAAATTTGGACGCATTGCAAGTTTGCGGCATGCTTGCGGCTGCCGTGCAAATCCGCAACACAAAATGCATAAATCAAAGGAAAATTGAATTTTAGCCATGAAAAGCATTGCATACGCTGAGGCGCAACGACATTGTCGTCGTTGCCGTTGTCGACACACGCTGTGAGCCTGTGACAATATGTTTGAAACGGCATTGGGTGGCAGCCAGCCTGGCAGCCATCCCCCCATACTTTTCAACCCCGGCCACCCTGTCAGCTGAGCCCCCCACAGGCACTGTCAACGCTTGGGCACGAATCATGGCAAAAACTTTGTCCGGCTTGGCGTTGATGCGACTTCGAAAACAAAATCTTCGAGTGCTTTATGCAAAGACCAAGGCACAAGCAGTTCGTAAATGCTAAAAAAAAAAAGATAAATACCTGTTTTTTTAATACTTATAGGATCATTTTAAAGCTTCAAGTAGAATAATGAAACTATTCAACTAACTAGCAGCAAACTAAGTTTAGGCAAATTTATTTAACTGACAGTAGCTGTAGTTAGAATTCTGAAATGGTATTAGTTTTTTTATGCTAAAGCTAAATAACCACTCCATTCTAAGTTTATTCTTGGTTTAACTTCACCTATTCCCTTTGTTATAATTATGAATTTAAAGTGAACAAAATTTCAAAATAAAAGTATTTGAGAAACATATGTATTTTTACTATAGTTATTCGTAAAAATTACAAATTTTTCACTTAAACTAAAAGCTTAAGACCGTATTTCCTATTTACTTACAATATACATATACATTCATAACATTCATTTATACATATTCATAAATAATTGTCAATAATTGTTGCTTTAAATTTTCAATCTATAGCAAGTAAAGAAAATTTAAAAATTAAAGATAAATATCAAATGTATATGCCTATCTTTGAGGTATCTATAGACAACACAGATAGACAATGCTTCCCGCCAATAGCTCAGATTAGCACGTGCTGGTTGGGTTAGTGAAATGAAGGAATGGAACTCACCACTGTTTATAGACAATTGTCACCATACGCTTTTGCCGGTTTTTACATGCCTGTTGCCACAAACTAAAATAAAGAGAATTTCTAAGTTTTCTTTGGCGATTATTTGGGCTTCGAGCCATTTGTAGTTCAGTCTTGAGAGGGCGCTTGACTTTGCAAAACGTGTCCAGCTTTGTGCCTGTTGCAATTACAAAATTCCTATACAGTCTATATAAACCCTGATCCCAGGACACTGCGTCCAGATCCCGGGCGGTGCAAATGATTTTTTGTGATTGCACAGTGCAAAAAAATGTACAGTAAAATTTATCAGCTCGCGGGGAAAATATAGGCATCTAAAACAAATTACAAAATAAATCAATAAAAATGACTGGGCAGGTGAAAAATGCAATTTGGTGAATAATTCCGCATATGCAAGCAAATATGTGCAGTCTGTAATCGATGCAGTTATTTCATTTACAATATGTGCAAATAAATCTATAAACTAAAAGTGTGGCTAAATAAATCGGCATGAAATTGTTGGAATTTGCATTTTAATGAGTTTCAAATAAAAAAATACCCGATGGAATTCCAGACAATGTTAACAGCCAGCCTAATTACACAAACAACCAGTAAGAGAGACGCAAATATAAAGTAAGAGCGAGAAAGAGAGAGAGAGAGAGAGAGAGAGGGAGACAGAGAGGCGCTAGTAAATCAACCTATTTAAACAGCAAACGAGGTAAGTTTATTTGGAATAGAATTTATTAATTAGTGGCCTTTTGCGCATTGGCAAGAACTGGAGCGTTAAGCGTTAATATCACAACTCATTCACATCAAAATCATTGACTCCAATTTACATTCACATTCACACTGACATTCACTCGTTTATATGTGCCGAGTTTAACGACCACTGAGTGTTTTGAATAGCAATCAAATTTGAAACAGAAGCAAACTTCAATTGAATCGTATAAATTAAATAAGTGACAGGAAAAAAGTGCAAAATTTTTTTTTTTACTATACTTCTCTAGGTGTCAACACACGCTTTATCAAATAACATCAAAGCTTAGCATATTTAAAGAGCGTTTTTTTATAGAATTTAAATTATATTTGCATTTTAATAAAATATTAAGGCGCGAACATATGAATATTTATACAATATAATTAATTTTTTATTGACTACAATACGATTTTAAGGTTTGAAGCATTGTATTATTTAATGCAGCATTTTGATAAAAAATTAACTAAGGGAAAATATCTTTAAATTATTGAAAATTATCCTTTTAAGGAGGATTAAGTTTGTACTACAGTCATGTAACGGGAATTATTTTTGAGAGCTTTTCATAGAACATTCGAAAATGTAACCGGTTCGTATATATCAAAGCTTTCATTCAATTTCTAAACCGAACCTAGAATCGAAATAATCAAAATTTAAACATTACTGAACCATATTATTACTATTCAATTAAAAAAATGGCTAAGCTTAAAATATTGTTTTTTTCTTAATACTAAAACTAGAACATACATATAAGAACTCAATTTTATGATGATTATTCCTGTGACATAATTAGTTAATATTAACCCAGGCATGAAAATGGGCAAACAAAGGACAGACGAAAGGAATCAAACCCTCTAGTTTCTAAGTCCAAAATATATATTGCATTATAATTGTCAACTTATCCTAACACTTACCTTTGAAAAGTTATACCAAAACCTAGAGTCTGTCATTTGAATATTTTAGAATTTTTTGAATAATTGAAAGTTGGCATAAGTTTCCTAAAAAAACTCTAAATGATGACTCAAAATCCGCAGTTTAGAAAGTGGACAGAAGACAGATCCTTGTTGCATGAACCACAGGGAAATCAAATAATGCCTTTGTGTATATACTATTTATATGAGATCACAAGGGTCCCTTTCCAAGCGTCCCATAATACATGTCAAAATCATACAAAACCCCTGATCAGTATGAATTCAAGAGTGTTTTAAAATTGTCAATGCAATGTTGTAATAATAAACCTTTGTTATATTTGTGAATATTGATATTATATTTAAAACACATAAGTACTAGCTTAATATGGCAGTTGCTTGTATTTATTTAACCAACCGCTTTGGTTGTGCACACAATATCGATGCATACTAAATATAGCACTAACTAAAACAAAGGCACTTTTGAAGTTATACTACCTTATCTAACCCCGTGCTTGAACTTTTGTACCTCATGCCATAAAGCCATATACTTATCATAAAACGGCTTAAACTAATGTGCACCGAACAAACACAATAACAACAATGAACAACTGCAGCAGCAGCAACAACAGCAACAAAAACATGTCCATAGCACCTTTCAGCGCGATGCGTATCGAGTTGCCTTCAGAATAGCTTGGCAAGCAACTCGAGCGCCTTGACTTGTGTCCATTGAGCTCACATAATCGCACAGACACAGACAGAGATAGCAACTAAGAGAGAGAGAGAGAGAGAGAGAGAGAGAGAGAGAGAGAGGTGAGAATGAGAGAGAGGGGCAGCGAATGAGGGGCTGAGTCTGAGTAAGAGACCCAGTGAGTAGAACCGAACACTGCCCATGCCCTGCCTTGGGGTATCGCATTTTAATGACCCACTTTTGTGCTCAAGACTATTTAAGTTTCTCTCGTATTGGTTTGTTCTAATTCTGAACAGTGCAAATCCCAGAGCAAAGCAATTAGTGTGGCCATTGGCCAGTACTGCGGCGAATTGTCAAGGAAATTGTGAAAGAGTTGCCGAGTGCTTGCGGGGCTTCGCCAGCGACCGGGGTTGCCGCACTCACAGCAGCGCCCAGAGAGTCGAAAGTAGAGGCAAAACAATACGTGAATCAAATAAATGTATATATATATATATATGTGCAACAAAATGTTGCAGGCAATGAAAGTCATTACCCACGAGGTGTAAAATAATTCTCAACTGTTGACGGCAGTTGAAAGGCCAAAGACAGCGAAGGAAAACTCAAAAAGACACAAAATAAATGAAAAATGAAATTAATAGAATTAACGAGTGGAAAATTCAATTCAAGGCGTCACAAATTCAGGGACAATACTTGGCATCGTGCCGTGAATACGATTGTAACAAATGTGCCGCCAATTTGGGACAGCACCTTGGAACAATGCGAATGGCGTACAATGGAAAAGTTTAAAAGTTGAATGAAATACGAACTTGGTCAAGGCAGAAATTGTACTTGAGGTTGAGGTTTAAGATAGGTTTTGTTAATCCGATATCAATAAAAAATCATCTGAGAAAAAATACAAAAACATAAAATAAATAACCAAATTTTTAAGGTCTTCAGTTTCATTTTACTTATCGTTCATTTATTTTAAACTAAATAATATTGTTTTGTTCTTATAATATAAATGAGTGAAAATTCTTCCCCGACCAATTTCCTTATATTCTATATTTTCTGAATAATATTTGTTAAATTGTCACACTTAATTATATCCTCCTTGAATTATATCCTCCTTAAGCTTATTGGGCCCTTTTATTTTAAAACTCTAGATGCTGGGTTACTTACATTATTATAAATTTTTAATACTAATTTAATTTTGCATGGTATGTTATGAAATTCAATCCTTTTCAACTCAAACTAACTTCGCACATTATCAAATATTTCTATTCATTAAAAAATAAGTAAGAGATATTTGAGATACCAACGCCATACCCCTCCCTTTTTTGGGTTCCAAATTATTTTTTATGAAATTATATTAAGGCGTAAAACACAAATATTTATATCATAAAGTATATTTTTGGTACAAGAATTTCTCTTGATGGCTTTCTCTTAATAAACATATTAAATTACATGAAGAACTTTAGCTGCAAATTAATTTCTAGGAAAAAATATGTGAAAATTTCCCACAAGCGCAATAATTATTAATTTATATTCGTGTATGTCATATAATCCATGTGAGTTACTTGCGGCTGGTTCGGGGCATATATATAAATGCATAATTGGAGCACAAAATTCCGAAAATATTTTACAACATCCTGCACCCTACACACAACTCATGAGTGTGTGTAGGTGTGTGGCTGTGTGTCGTCCATTCTTGTCGGGTTTCCAGGCATTCATTGTGCTCTTATCCCATTTATTCATTTCAGCTACACACATACACCCACAGACACACACTTGGGCAAACACACTCATAGAGAGTTGTGGTCACACACGGATAAGCGACCGGCCGAAGATGGACCTACGTATACGTAATCTAACACTGCCAACGCCAGCCGCAACAACAATTATTTTCTCGTCAACAGCAACAACAGCAACGGCCGCAGCAATGTCTAGTGGCACGGCAGCAACAATCGCCCCAACAACAATAGAATCAACAGCAACAACAACGCCATCCACATTTTTTACATACAGCATACCAGGCATGGACATTGCGCCGGGACCATTTATATTCACCTACGTTAGTGAATTTTTATCGCTTATCACGCCCGAAGAATTGCCGCTTGGTAAGTTTCTGGAAGGGTCAGGGTTTTGTCTTTCCCATATGTATATATCTATGTTTTGTGTGTGTGTGTGTGTGTGTGAGTATGTGCGAGTGTGTGTGGCTTGGTAACTAGTCTTGTCTGCCTGCCAACAGCCAAGGAATTAAATAGGACAATGCGCACTTTTATATCATTTACAATGGTTAAGAACAATAAAATTGTTCAATGAAATGTATAAAAATTATAATCTTGGACAATATTCTGCATATATTCTTAAATAAGGCTTTAAGAATATATATCTTCAAAAATTTCACTTATTTTTTAGTAATACTCAGTGAGTTATTTGATGATAGATAAGGCTTTAAACCTTAGTGCATGTATTGCATAATATTGTTGCATGTTTATATAATATATATAAAGGGTCGAGCATTAAAAATATATTTCTTAAATATATCTTGTATAGAATAATCTTGTACTTATAGTAAAAAATCTAAACCTAATCTATACAGCCCTATTAGATTTCTGTTGTGAACAAATTCTTAATCAAGTATAGGCTCAACAAAGAAGAAATTGCATAGAACCAATCTACTTCAAGCATTCGATCAATCCAAGGCCTCTTTAATTTCCCATTTAAATAATAGCATATCTGGGATGACCCATTAAATGGAGATAGAAGTACAGATAGATTTAAAAGTTTTACAATTGGAAGTCGACTGTTTGCTCGCAGACTGTGAATGATTCCCATGGTCACAGCTCGGCCATGGGTTGAGCATTGTGACTGCTGCACGCTGCTAGACATTGGATTAAATCATGACACTAAATTCAGTTGGCGTATAGTTTATGGTTCTTAGTCGTACATACATACATTACGCCATGTACTACACGGTTTTCGTCAGTGCCGCGTGCTTATCAAATATGCGAGTCATCGCGCTGGCCATCAACATAGGTTTCAGGCGTTGAAGATTTAAAGCAAAGTCAGCTTAGACTAAGCTGATTAGAGAACAATATGAATTTATGAAAATTTATTTATCAAAATTGGTCAACAAGTTGGAGGAGGAGCCACAGGCTAGCCGCAGATGTCCGATGAGCAAAAGCTAGCCAGCTTTATGAAGAAACATGGCGAACAGGAGGCGGTAGCGCGTCATTACCTGACGACCAACAACTGGGCCCTGGAGCAAGCTAGCCTTAAATACGAAGACGACAAGGCTAAGGAGCGCAGCAGCAATCCGATTGACGCACAGGGACTGCAATCCCTGCAGAGCCTGCTGAGTCGTCAAACGCACAACCGTGAGGATGAGCCCGAGGCTTACTATGCCGGCACCTCCGAGAGCTCCATGCCGCAGGCACCTGGCACCCAGACGTCCAAACGTGTGCAGATTGATGATTCGACGCCGGCGCTGACCACGGCGGGCAGCGATCGCAGTCTGCGCGCTTGGGGCCATGGCATGCGTCTGGGCAGCGCTCATCCCATAAATCCGCCGCCAGCACGCGATGATGATGAGCTGGACTCGGACTCCGAGCTGGAAGATAACGAGCACAGTCTGGTTGTGCTGCATCTCTGGTCCGAGGGCTTCTCACTGGACGACGGCTCGCTGCGGCTCTATGAGGTACCCGAGAATGAGCGCTTCCTGCGCGCCATTATGCGCGGCGACTTCCCGGATGAGATGCAGGCGATTGGCCAACGCATTGAGCTGAGCGTGCGCGATCACACAAACGAGTCCTATCGCGAACTCTCGCGCAAGCAGTTCATGGGCTTCGGACGTCCCTTGTGCAGTCCTGCGCCACGCATCGAACTTGCCGCACAGTCGCATGAGCAGCTGACGCCGCTGGAGCGGCAGCAGCGCCAGGAGGAGAATGCGCAGAACACGCTGCAGCTGAACGGACAAACTGAAACGACCACCATTCAGTTTCGTCTCTCCAATGGCAGCCGCATCGCCGCACGCTTCAATACCACCCACAATGTGGGGGATCTTTACAGATATGTGCGCATGGCAAGGCCTCAATACAGCAGCCAAAACTTTCTGCTCATGACTGCGTTTCCGCGTTACGATCTTCACGAGAGCGATCCGCGCACCTTGGCCGAGGCTAATCTGCTCAATGTGGTGGTCATCCAGCATATCAGCGAGGATTCCGACCAAGCTGACCAGTCGACTGAGTAAAAGTTATATTAGCGGACAACACGAAATTTGTTTGATGAATAGTGTACAATAAATATGTAATATCCATATTGTATAATAAATCATATACTTTTAATTCGATTGTAAGCGGGGAAAGTTCTCAGGTCTTCAGTCAACAAATTTTTTAGAATACATTTTTTATCCACAAATGTATGTTTATCAAGTAGAAAAATAATTCGTAACATTATTTACCAGATTCCATACGCGACGTACTACACAAAAATGTCAGCCTTATCGACTTCGCCGCCAACGTAAGTAATGGATATTTCCCCAAGATAAAAGTTTCCATTGAATCTCTGTAAATATTCTTAATTGTATTTGCCTAGGCTATTAAGATCGAATCCGGATTCATAGCGCTGATGAGTATCTTTGCCATACTAGCGCTGGTGCCGCTGATTGCCACCTGTGCCTGGTGCTGTGGCCGTCGCGCCATCCATGAAGAAGTGGAGAATATACGGAAGGCGCAGGTTCACATACGCGACGAGTCGCTGGAGGAGAATCTGCGATGTCGCAAAAGCGCCGGGCTGGTCACTCTCTGGATTGTCTTTATCCTGCTCACGTAGGTGGCCAATTGGAAAGTTTTACTCTGGAGTTGACTCAATTTAATGGCACTTTGCAGGCTGAGCGACTTTAGCATATTTTATGCGAACAGTCGCCTCTCGGCGGGCATTGAGATGACGCCAGAGATGGTCAAGTCCGCTGTGCACGATGTGGAGGTCTTTCTTAAGGACACGCATCTACAAATCAAACACAAACTGGATAATGGCTTTCATGTTTCCGTCGAGAGAGTCGTCAAAGACTTGGAAGGTCAGTGGGTGGGCACCTAAAATAAAAACTTTTCCTTTTGCCAACTTTATGACCAGCCACGTCGCTTACATTTTATAGTTTTCGATTCATGTATTATGCTAAAACTTTATGCATTGCATTGTGAGTTATTGCAGCGACTCTCGCACTGCCCTCACTCTATGTGAACTCAATAAACTGTTTGTCTCTTTTCTATTCCCATAGACGTGGATGTTCTCCTTGGCGAGCCAATTCAAGCGGAAATATCCGCACACACTGGCCTCGAGCTGGCATATGATTCATTGACGACACTTAGCCTGGGTGAGTCTTTTGGTTAAGTGCTCCACTGCGATTGTCTGCCTCAATGCGTGCAACTCGGACTTGACCCAGATCCAATAGTGCTTCTTGTTTACGGTACGACAAATTTATTTAGGTACAACTGGGTCTTGACTTAGAGAAGTGTGAAAGAAAAAATTAAAATGAACTTATTATTGAGTAACAGAGTAAAATAAGTTGAGCCAAGATAAAATAAATATGTTACCATAAATCCTTAAGTCCTAATTTTACAGGCCGATTGGAAAATCAATCTGATTTCAACGTAGAGAATAGACACATTCTGGGTTTTCCAGTACAGAGCTGACTGTTAGTAAAAACATTATTATAAATATACACCACGCGCCTCTACAAGCATCAGAACTTATTTTCTTTAATATTTTGACTTTTGGCAAAAGCAAACAATTGCCACCAAAATCTTGTCATATATCACAATAAATATTGAAGTGCGCCGAGACAGGCGATTGTTTGCGCCCAATTTCATTATGGGGAGGCCAATGGCAAATATATAAAACTCGAGAGGATGTCGCGTGCTACGATATGAGAGGCTCAGTCAGGCTGGCAGGCGGCATCCACATCCGGTGGCAAGTTGACACAAGCAGAGCACAAATGTCAAGAGGCAAACTGCATTAGATTCGCACACAATGTGTAATTTAGAGCAGGACTCAGCCCCCCCCCCCCTGTCCTGCTCAGGCCACACTCCTTGGCTAGCCCAAATAAATATGCTACAATCATGTTTTTGTGGATTTTGTCGCAGCGAATGCGGAGCTTATCTATCGCGTGCTCATGCTCCAGGAGACCGTCGGACGCGCCTTGAAGCTGTCACAGGAGGCTGCCGCCCGCATGGAGGAGCTGCAAATACAGTTATCCGTGCTGCAGCGCCAGTGCACGTACCGGGATCGTCCGCTCTGCGACACATTGCGTATACGCAGCTTCGAGGAGAATGGCGTAGTCGACGCACTCAAGACGGTGAGTTGGTCAGCTTGATTTTCGCCTTATCCGTTTAATTTTCGCCCTTTTCATTTCCAACTGCCTTCTAATTCGCGACGCAACTCCGGCCATAATCCATTTCGTTGCAATTTGTCAGCTGCAAGAGGACCAGAGCATCTTTCGCATGCGCTATTTGGGCGAAATTGAGTTTGGTGCCACTGTCAAAAATCTGACATCGGAAGTTGGCGTCTCACGTTCCATTTTCAGCAATTTCCCGCAACAAGTCAAACACGACACGGCATATGAACGCAACTGTAAGTCCAATCATAGCTCACACAATAATATAGTACGGGGTAGTGAAAACATTGTGAGTTCTTAATAAAACGAAAGAAACTTATAGAAAAACCGCCAAAATCTAATCCAAATATCAAGCAAGAACTCATTAAATTTTAAAAAGTTTTCACCAACTGTTATGCAGCATATTTTCCGTTTTTATAGCAATTTTTATGAAAAGAATTTTAAAATAAATATTTTTTTAACTAAAAAATGAAAAATAAAATAGAATATCTGATGGCCAAGAAAAAATGTAACCAGTTTACTTGTGATGCAATTTTTAATCAAAGCTAAAATAATATAAAAATTGTTTTCCTTTTTGCTAAAATTCCGACGAAAAAATGTGCAAATTTATTCTTGATCATCAAATATTTGTCCAGACACAAATAATTACGCATATTCTGAACATGCGAAATTCGGAGAAGACATTTTCTCACATCTCTTTACATGTTCTTAAATATTATATAATTTAAAATCCAAACACACTCTCTAGTTCATTTAATTTACACTTTGTCAACAATTATTTAATATGTTTATATCTAAAACTTTCAAAAACCGTTTCAAGCATAAACAAAACTCGATTATGGCCTCAATTTAAATGTACAATTCAATCAATAGCACGTGTCAGGGCCCTGTGGCTGCCAGTGTCAACCAGTGTGGGGCATGAAATTTGCGGTAACAAACGGAGAGCAAAATGGGACGGCTGTTTAGTTTGGTTCAAGTTTAACACAATATTTATTACTGTCACCTGGGCCACACAATACACTAATTGAATTTGCAAACTTGTCCACAGATACGCTGGAGCAGCTGGCCAGCATCAGGCACCGGACAACGGCCAATGCCCAGATGTTAACGTCGACAATTAATGCCCTGCTGCAGCGGCTGCAGCGCATGTGGCCAGCCCTGGAGCCGGGCTACAATGAGCTGAAGGAGTGGGCGAACACATACTGGAGCATTGGCTGGATAGCGGCCATGGTGATCGTTTGGGTGATGCTCTTTATGTTGATGTCCTACTGCTGTTTCCTCTGCGAATCGAATGTGAAGTCGGGCGTGGTATTTTTCGTCGCCGTATTGATAATATGCGTGGGCAGCATCTGCCTCACCTTCTATGGCGTCTTCTCGCTGGCCATTGGCGGCAACACGGAGGTCTTTCTCTGTCGCTCTCTCAACGACAACAACTACGAGATGCTGGGTAAGCTATTCGATAAGCCCGGCTATGTTTATGCCGACGAGCCCCAAACGGGCATCATCGGCGAGCTGTTGCGCCCCGCTGGTGTCAATCGGTCTGTGGTCAATGTCAATCTGGGCACTGCGCTCCGGTGAGTTGAACTTTGCACCTTGAACTTTATTACCTCTGCCCACTAATATGCGTGTACTTAGGCTCCCCAGACAACCCAATATGTACATATAACCAACTCAAGTCCAACAAGTAACGAATTTTGTTATCCAATTACTTTGATACTGTACGTGCCTGTAATTTTGATAACCCCCAAACTCATGCGCAACACATATTTCCTACTCACAGACGAGTTTCAGGGGAGCTGTCAATATTTTACCCTCTCAAGACCTCAGTTCGTTTTGAAGATGAGCTATTTAGGTAAATACTTATACATTGCGTATTGTTGGGCTTAAGAATGTATACATATATCGTAAACTGACCAAAGATAAAAGATTATACTTAAAGTACCTTAAACTGTTGCATCGCCAAATAAAAAACAATTTTGCAGATTTTTATTTAGTATAATAATGAAAACCAACTATGATAATATTGATTGAGAACTAAGATATTCAGCAAAAATAAATAATTAAGAAAACTCTCACAAGCACAAAAGGAAAACCTATCCAAAAACTAAGTAAAAACTATATTTGAACAATTACAATGAGAATTGAAAATGCTTTTTAAATTGCACGAAGTCAACCGCAATGCTTAGGCTAGGTATGGTTAAACGGACAGCTTGACCCTGAGGTTGTTCCATTGTGGAATTTTTATATTTATTTCAATGCTTATTCCTATCAAATAAAATCTTTAAATACAAATAATATTTTCAGATTTGCCCAAAATATGCACACTTCATTTATTTATCTTACATTTTCGAAAGTCCACTTTTGTCTGGGCTCTTCATAAAAAAGAAAGTTGATAGTTAGGCCAATAGTATCACAGTTGAAAGGTCAACGTTCGCTATTAAACTTGCCAAAGCATGAATTGAACCCTGTTAACCCGCCCGAAACGTGTCTATTGATTGTTGCCAACCCGCTTGAAAGCCACACCAGATTACCCAGATCTTAGACAAAGTCCCTTCCAAAGCACTATCACAAGTTTGCACTTGGCGAACTATGCCTCAAGTAGAGATGACCAGCAATCAAACATTTTGGTCACCGTTCAGCACTTATTATTCAAGCCGCAGAGCACAGTCCATGGACAACATAGAATTTAGATACCCGTACAGCCAACCAAGCCGCAAAGTTTTCAAAGCCCAATGAAATTTGCTAGCCACCGCACGGCACTTAATTTAACGCAGAATTCGAGTGCAGCAAAGCGCACACTCACACAACACACACACACACACACACACCACGCCCAACCCAAGCAGCAGCACCCAGCAGCTTATGTAGCCGCAAATTTTAAGCCCAATTCCAATTATCTGCTCAGCTACAAATGCGCATGCATGCGATCCGATGCAACATAAGCATGACCGCATGCTCCAACCCACAGCCCTCACATACCGCTCCAACTCAGGCCAGCTACATATATATGCAGTATGTGTGAGTGTGTGTGTGTGTGGTTATGGCCAACTCCACGCATATTGAAGCTGACAAGTTCGCATGAATTCAACTAAACTTTATTCGACATTTCTTTGCTACGAACCACTCATAACTCTGCCCGACACAAAAACACGCACACACACACACACACACACATACTATTGACCAATGTCACACCATGGCGTATACGCAATCAGGGGCTGCGAACAAAATCAAGCATCGTACAATGTCTTTCAATTGGATGCGTTCGTAAATACCACAAAAATAGCCGATTTAAAACAATTCCCAAAAGTCTCAACGGCCATCGATTCCATTTCCGTATCGGAACGCACACTGCTGTCGCTCACCCAGTCCATACAGAACATATTGGAGAATATGCTGCAAACATCTGCATTCAATTTGACCACATACCGCAACAGTGTCGGTGCGCCCACGCCCGAGAAGGACTTGGCCACATTCATCGATCAAATGCAACGCGTTGCATTACAGGTGAGCGAGCATCACGTCCATAAATCTATTAATGTACCTATCGATTTTATTTTACTGCACTTCAGGTATTATTGATACATATTTCGAAACTAAAAATATATTTAGAAGATTTTCTTTTTAGCTTTCTTTTTAATCTGAGCACTATTCTTGCTGACTGCAAGACTCTAAAAGCTTATTATATTTTGTATGCTCTATCTATTTGAACTAACTTATTTGAAGTGCTCATATGCTTGATTTATCTTGCCTATATGAGTCATCTAATCCAATCCTTTGCCATCCACGCATGCCTTTCAGATTCAGGACGTAGCCACATCGTCTCGCATGACCACGCTGGGCAGTCGGTCGAAACGTTTGCAGGCAGCCATACTGCAACCGCTGGAGAACCTACAGAATGAGATACTTTACCATCTGACAGCATTGGAGCTGCAGAAGGATCCATGGGCAAAGCAGGTCAATCAGACGCTCAATCATTTGAAAAGCATACAGGGCTATTTGGAGAACAAGGCCGGCGAGATCTGTCACAATCTGACGCGCGTCTACACGGAGCGGTAAGTGGAGTGGGCCACAGCAAGCCCGAGCGCATACAACATGCTGCATGCAACACACATAGAGGCATGCAAGAAATTATCGGGTTAATTGCATTGAAATCTGAGTGATTTTCTATGGGGCACTCGTTTCGTCTCGCCTGTGGCTGACCAAGTCCTTCTGGTCTGTCCATGTGTGATTGCGTGTTTGTTTTATTGTTGTGTTGCTCTTTTCACTGGAGGCAAACCAACGAACAGGCAAACAACCTCAACTCTAGGGCCCTGCACATAGCTTTTACTGTTTTATCAGATAATTGAAAGTCGTAATCGTTTGATTAAGTTTGCCGAGTGTCATGATTGCATTTCTGCTTTTTGTTGGTTGTCTTGTCTGAAGTGTGTGAAGGACAACTTGAAATGAAAATGCAAAACAATTCCAAGCTGCAATTGTTGAAAGATTGTCTTAACCCTCTGTTATGGTAAACACTTCTGAGTGAGCGTGAAAGTCACTTTCCAAATATAAACAGGCACAAACAAGTCACAATAAAACAATACTAAAGTACTCGGCTGGAAGGTTTTCTGATTCCACAGATATGAAGTACTTTAATGAAATTAAAATTCTTGCAATCGAAGCGAAGATCGATTGCGAAGAAATCGAGTTTAAGTGGAATATGAATACTATATTTATATACCCTTCTAGAGGGCAACAAGTTTTGAACCAGCCCTGCTCGAGCCCGGAATCCCAATCTAATTTAAAAAAAAAAAACCCGAAACTTAAAGCAAACCAAAAAAAAATAACCCAACTAAAACGCGAACCAAATAAATAATTTCAACAATATTTTGGTTCAACATAAAAACTTTTTTTATAGAAAAAATGTTCGATATGCATTATTTTTAGCTATTATAAATTAAAAGTTTAATTGTTTAACAATTTTTATTAATATGACAAGCCAAATCTGGGTTCAAGAATTTGAAAAACCAGTTTCACGAACTGAACCAACAGATTAGGAACTGTTTTGAGCCATAAACCAAATGCACACAACATAAAGCCTTGCGCCTGTCTGTCGATCGCAGGCAATACATACACATGGCGGAGTCAGCCGGATCGGACCACTATATCATGTAGCTGCCAAAGAAATCATCGGGAATAAAATAGGTTCTTGAATGAAAAACGTGTTGGTTATCAACATTGGATTACAAATTCGTCGTAGGCAGAACCGGTAGAATAATAAGTTTTGCATACAAATCAATCGTATAAAACAAGCCAGGGTATAAAAATAAGAAAATAAAAAGATTAAAGATTGGACATAAAGCGATGATAAGTGATAAAAAATAAAAATAAATACTTAATTCGAAAAGCAGCTCTCAATATGTACCCCTTTGACAGACTCAAGACCTACTTGACCAGCAGTCGAGCCACTATGGAGTCACAGCTGGGAGATACGACAACCAAGTGCCGCCCATTCTACGATACGTTTGATGCCAGTCGCATATTTCTGTGCCGCAATCTGGTGGACTTCATCAATGGGCTGTGGTTCTTCATATTCCTAACCCTGCTGCTCTGGGCGATCGGTACGCCAGTGGGTCTCAATCTGATCACCATAGAGACGCGCCTGAATGCGATGCAGAGGGCCCAGGCACGCAGCAAGGGCAAGCATCGACAGCGCAGCGACAGAAGCGACCGGAGCGACAGAAGCGACGAGCGGCCACGTCGCGGCGACAGTCGCGGACGCCAGAAGCAGCGCACGAGCAGCTCTGCGAAGCGTGATCAGCAGAGGGAACGCAGCACTAGCAGCACGGCAAGAGCCAGACCGCCACTGTGAGTAGACAGAGGAATATGCGTAAGTTCGGGGAATAACACAAGTCTGCTTCACAGACGACGCACTGCCACAGAGGAAACACTGGACATAGGCGATGAGGATTCAACGCCATCGAGACAACCGCAGCAGCAGCCGCAGCATCAGCAGCAGCATCAGCAGCAGCAGCAGCATCAGCGTCGCCAGGAGTCGGAGCAACGGGAACTGGAGCGGGAGCGCGCGCGTGATCGTGACCGGGAGCGTGATCAGCGTAGTCGAGAGCGTGAGCTAAGCCGTGGACGCGAAATGGCGACCATCAATACGCCAGTGCGCAGTCGCCAGCAGCTGTGAGTAGAGACACCCTAAAAAATTGGCCAAGCAGTACATCTTCACCAGCTTCCACTCATCACATTTCATGTTGAAACCCAAACAGGCGTCGAGGTGGCACTATGAACGAGGATGATAATTGGGGTTCATCCAGTGCGCCCAGTAGAGCCAACTCCAATGAGCGCGAAAGCAGTCAGTCTAGAAAGATCATCAACGTTTGGCAGTCCAGAAATAAGATCAAGACGCCGCTGTAAGTCGAGCTAAGGTCCCCCCTCCCCGTGCCCACTCTTAAGTACCCTGACTCTGACACTCTGTTGTTGTTGTTGTTGCTGCCAGTCACCGGCAAAGCACTGAGGAGCTTGACTTTGGGGATGAGCCGCAGGACAGCGGCTGGCGCGCCAAGAACAGCGTCAGCCCCGAGCAGCGGCAGCAGCCAGACATGCGCCGGCAGCAGCCAGATAGCCGCACCCAGCTGCGTACTAAGCCAAAGTTGTAAGTGTTGCTTCAGTGAAAGCCACGCCCCTAGCCCGCTTTTAATTGACCCCCTGGTGACTCATTTCTCTCCATTCAAGACGTGGTACCCATGTGGATAGATCTGGCAGCGAAGCGGTACGTCGTCCGGTCACGCCCGTTCTGAGCGTCAATCCGGATATACCGGCTGCCGTGCCCATGCCTCGAACGCCGATGCGTTTGAGGAACAAAGTCTCGCTGACTGCCCGAGCCGTGCAGGACATTATTAACAAGCGGAGTCAGCTTCTGTGAGTTGTCCCACCTGTCTCTGTGTCGGCTCACAATACTGTGTTCCTCTGCCTGAAACCATTAAATTTCTAAATTAGTTTTTAATTTCAATAATATTGTTGGTTTGAACATAAAATTGCGTGTTAAATTTTCCTATTTCCAATAGAAATTTAACAGCGACAAAATTATCTTAAAATTGTTGATAGCAAACTTTAACTATTGCTACCCCCTAGACCTTAGAAGTGCCTATAATTTCGTATTTTCACCTAACCCATTTCAAGCGATATCATCTGAAACCAACTTTCCTTAAAAGCTTCAACTGCTTAAAATTTTTTTAAATTTGAAGTTCATAAATATTAACAGTTTTGTAAAGAAACTTCTGTTATTAGGTAATGTTGATTAACAGTCATGTTAAAATAACATGCAACTGTAAGTAAGAGAAACTTTTATAAATATACAAAATTTGAAACAAAATATAAAATTTGAAATAATTTTTTGTTACCAGAAACTATAAAAAATATTTTTTTTTGTTAAAATTATTTTGAAATCCATATATAACATAATATAAAAACTTAACACTTACTCGCAATTAACAATCAATATTGGAATACTCGTTGATCACGATATTTACGGTGAACAATTTTAATTTTATCATTTCTGCCGCATTTATTATGAACAATATTTTCTGTACAGCGCTCGTTAACATAATGTTAGTAACAGAGGGCAATTTGTAAAAATTTCTCAAACAACATAACAAATATTGTTTGAATAAAAAACTGTAATAATTGTTAATTTGAACGCATTGGACGCTTTACACCTTACCGAATTGTAGCTGCTCTTATTAATTAAACAGTTAATTTTTCAAAAAATAAAAATAAAATAATCTATCTCTTTTTCTTCCCACAGCCAACGCACTGGTACCGATGACTATGACATGGACGAGAGCGATATGTACGGTACTGGTGCACATATGGACGCTGACGTTGTTGCGGCGTAAGACTAGATACTGCCTTGATGGTGACACATTGGTAATTCTTTATGATTCTCATTTGCAGAGCTCGTCGCACTCCGCCACGTGGCGCGCCGCCGCCTCCGCCACCTCCAGCGGCCGGCTTGAACAGGTTCTACCAACGTTATTAAACAATTATCGAATGAGTTTGCTTTTTGGTTTCTTTTGATTTTTGATTTGTAATCGAATACTGTGCACTTGACAGAGATTAACAAACAAAACACACAACCAATTCTTATGTGTTCACAGCGACAAAGTCTATATATTCTGAACTTACTTTTTTTCTCGTACTGCCAACCGATAACTACCCCCAAAATGGCACGATCGTGTATACCCTGCAAAATGCTATAGAAATAGCAGTGGGGCACGCAGCGTGCGTTGGAATGAAGAGGAGGACTTTGTCTTCGAAGATGCTGACTCACCGAATCCGAATCCCATGTACTTGAGCCGTAATATCCACTAAGATTGCCCACATGCCATACTGTGTCCTACGCTTAGTAAACCTTCTTTTGTATTTGGCTTACGATATTTCTTCTTAAGTTAAATGTAGTCTAGTTACAAGATTGTAGCATCAACGATTTAATATTTAATAAGCATTTACGGTTGCAAGCAATCACAAATAAAGAATAGAGCAACATATACAATCCATATACATATATAGGTATTTATATGGGTGGAGAAAATCATGTTAAAAGTACTTTAACAAATAAAACGAGAAAGAACGGCTATCTTCGGCACGCCGAAGATTTAATACCCTGGCAGACCCAACCAGGACCCAACCCAAAAAATATTTAATGACGAGTATGGTTATTTTCGTATTTTTTCCTATGGAAGCCATATGACAAAATGGTCCGATCCAGCTGGTTTCGACATATGTACTGCGTGCAACAGAATGAGGGACTTCTGCAAAGTTTAATGACGATAGCTTCAAAACTGAGAGTCTAGTTCGCATAGAAACAGACAGTCGAACAGACGGTCAGACGGACAAACGGACATGGCTAGGCTATATCGACTCGGCTGTTGATACTGATCAAGAATATATACACTATATGGGGTCGGAGATGTCTCCTTCTATGCATTACACATTTCACATTTAGTTATTGAACAACATCCAATTTATGTAGATCGCTTTCTGGAATAAGACTAAGTCCTAAGACTGGCAAATGTGTCAAATATTTATGCTGAAACTGGAATCGTTATATCGGAGATTTAATGTCTATAGGCGGAAATTTCTGCCGATATTGGAGTCTAAATCTAAAAAAATCTACCACTAACAAAACTAATGATGAGATTATATAAATAACCCCTTCTCTTAGCGTACATAAAGGAACAGATCTCTAAAGAATACAAGCAATTATTATTTCAGCTTTGAAATCCTTTTAAATATAAATTATAAATTTTCTCGGCACTTTTCACAGTTTATTCAGTGTTCAATTAATCAAATGGGCGCAGTTATAGGAATATGCTTTTGTCAAACAGTCTACTTCTTCTTCAGGAAGGAGCTGATGACACCAGGAGCAGCATAGGTGGCAACTGGGGAAGCATAGGCGGGTGCAGCATAGGCGGGTGCAGCATAGGTGGCCACGGGCGCTGCGTACGCCGGCGCGCTGTACACGGAGGCTGCGTATGCGGGCGCGGCAGCGTGGTAAGTGGAGTAGGCGGCGGGCAGGCCGGCGGCCGAGTAGGTGGTCACTGGAGCTGCGTAGGTAGCTGCATAGCTGGGTGCGGCGGCATAAGTGGCTGCATAGGCAGGTGCCGCGGCATAAGTGGCCACCGGTGAGGCCAGGAAGCCAGCCTGGGCGACGGCGAAGCAGAGAGCCAAGCAGATGAGGAACTGCAAAGTCAAGAAATTAAAGGATTAGAGATCGAAGTGTCGCACTGATCCTGATCCTACTTACTTTCATGTTGTTGAGTTGGGATGAATGGTCAGCGACTGATGCTGTTGGCCAATTAGCTGGACTCTTTTATAGCCAAACGAGGCTTGCGACGCCCTCAAACAAGTTTACGGCTTAAGGCCCAGACCCAAATAAAAAGCTGAATTAGAACACAATGCGGACGCAGTAAGAAATTGTTTTGTACTCTATTTAACTTTTTGATGTTGTGTTTTTTGCTTGGTTACGTTCAATGAACGCGGATGCCGCGCCTCGTAGAGAACCTCAGTGCCAAATGTTTGTCGCTCGACTTTGCGGCGTGTCAAATGGATTATATTTTCCATTTCATGTTGCCAGCTTTTGGCGACAACTGAAATTTACAATTAAATATTATCAGCGATTATTTGACAAGCCTACAAGCAATTGCCAAACTCAAATAAAGTTGATAAACAGCTTGCAAAAGTGATCTGGTTACCAAAATACTTGAGATTCGATTCTCAAGCAAACTTTTACAATATGTTAAAAACTTGTTTCATTATAAAAAGATTGATTGGTTTTTCGATTGAACTACTAAAGATATGCATAGATTTCATAATTTTTTTATGTTCATGTATTTATTAAATAATTAAAATATATTTTTCATTTCAGCAACTGTTGATAAGTTGATCCAGATTGTATACCACATTTCTTCCATAGAAACCATTAGTCAAAATAGTTGCCGAATAAAATAAACAAAATAAATAATAAATATGTTTTGCATTGACATTTCTGTCGAAGGTTTTTTAATCCTAGGTTATTTACAATAACATTTTATTAATTTTGTTAGGTTGTTTTTCAAAACAAAAGCCATAAACAATATAAATCTTTTAATAAATATTAAATTATTAAGCTCAATTAAATTTTATTTAATAGTTAAGTTATCCATAAAAAATCTGAATTTTAATAATTTCCAAATTAATGATGCAGCTTTGAAGAGCCAAACGCTAATTTTCTTAAATGTCTTTCAATATTTGGATAGCCAGATTTATTAGAAAGCCGCAACAAGATCAAATGTGGAATGCAGCAAACTTTATTTTTGATGATCAATAAGACAAAAAATTTGATAATTATAATGAATGACACATATATATATAATCAAACTTATGATATGCGAACCATAATACGGTAATAGGTATGGCAAATTTGTCTATATTTTTTTTTTTTATATAAGCAGGAATGTGTTTAATTTATATATAATGTTTTCTAATACATAGTTAGAATGATAAAACAGAATATTTATGATGACTAGAGCTGCAAATATTTCATGCCAACAACAGATTAATTTTAGTGTTTAGCTTAATCTTTGGTATAAGACACACTTTGGACAGCAGCAACAGATCCACGCCCGCCGCTTTCTACTATTACGACGAGGATTCGGGCAGCGGTGTTGCCGGCGCTGTGTCCAGCTCCAGCGTGTGTGTAGCTGCACGCGGCTGCTTGCGCCGCACATCGATCTCGTAGAGCGTCAGCCCGAACTGATGCACAAAGGAGCTGAACTGACGGCTCAGGTAGGCAAAGCTCAACGTGGGCGGCTGTTCCACGGCGCAAGTCCCGCGCAGATCGTCGTGCGTCCAATGGGGCGCATCTACATCGCAGGGATGGCGACCCTGCAGGCGTGGAAAGGCCTCTGTGGATAGATGCGGATAGAAGACAGAAACCAGCTCAAAGTGCAAATAGCTGCTGGCATTGGAGCGCTGCAGTGCCTCGTGCAGCTCGCCGCTCAGTGCAGCGGGTATGGCCAGGTACATCTTGTAGCGCAGCCGAGTTGCGCCATTGCGCTTCAGCTCACAGTTGCCCGTGATGAGCTTCACCTTGTGCATGACCGTGTCCAGCGCCAGCCCACCGTATTCGTACAAAAAGAAGTCGCGCTGGCGTCGATAGCGCTGATGCGTCTGCAGATTAAAATGCAGCACCCGCGAGCTGGGCACATTGACCAGATGGAGCGGCAAGCTGTAGGTGTGCGAGGTGAGCAGATGCACATGGGTGGCCGTCGGCTTGGTGGCGACCACATGCGACATGTGCTGTGCCAGCGGAAAGATGCCAGCCTGATGAATGAAGCCAAAGAAGAGCGTGAGCAGCACATTGCACACGTACCAAATGCGCAGCAGATGCGGTGCAGAGGCTCTGCTGCAGAGCAGGCGATCGTAAAGCCAACGCAGCAGCGGATGCTGCGTCTGGAATGGATATGTAGCGCTGAATCCAGTGATGAGCTTGGGCGCATGCAGCAACAGCAATGGAAATGTGAGTGGCAGCAGAAAGCGCGGCTCCTGGTGATTGATCAGCGAGAGAAAGAAGAGCGGCACAAAGATGGCGCCTGACATCAAGGACACAATGCTCTGAAAGCGCGGCAGCAGCTGATATTCGGCGCAGAAGAAGCGCAACAGCAGCTGGGCAAACGCCACCAGGGCGGCGAGGCCAAGCACATTGAAGAGCAGCGGCATGTTGACCAGCAGATGCACATAGCAGGGATGAACGCCATGCGTGGCCGTTTGGGCCGAGTCCAGGTTGTATTTGATAAAATTCCAGGGCGTAAACACAAAGTTATCAATGCCCAGCTGCAGCATGTGGAGCTCGCCCACGGTCAAATGCTGATAGTACAGCGAGTCGCAGAAGATGAACAGCAGCAGCGCTGGCAGCGCACAGAGGCAGAAAAGTCCGATGCGCAGATTGAAGTCACGAAAGCTGACGCTGCGTGTGCCCATGCCGCGCAGCAGCCAGAAAAAGACCATGGGCGCACCGAAAAGCAGGAATGTGGGCCGATTGAAGACGCCGGCCACACAAATGCTGGACATGGCGAACAGATGCTGCAAATTATGCGCAGGCAGCGCATTCTTCAGTTTCCAGATCTTGACGCGTTCACTTATCGAAGCCGCCTTATCGTATTTCTCCTCCAGAAATTCCTTTTTGTACACCACCGTATTCGTTCGCAGCATGCACTCGGCCACCAGGCAGAGCAGCCAGGAGCACATGGCCAGCTCGAGTGTGTTGGAAAATGTGCGCGTGCCGAACACCAGCAGCACCCAGCTGCTGCCTAGCGCCAACAGGCGGATCTCATGGCGCAGCCCGTAAAGCCGGCAAATGCGGTAAAGGCACCAGTCGTTGCTGTACGAGATCAGCGTGTAGATGAGCCGCGGAAATACCAGATAAGCATAGCTATTGATTAGCTCCACCTGCCACCAGCCACGCACGTATAGCGCCGCAAACTCATAGAAGCTCCAGGGTACGCGAAGTAGCGCCCACGGCAGAGTTATGCTCCGCACCGGCATTGTATTATTGAACTCCCAAGTTCGCGTGTGCTCCAAACGAAAGTGATCACCTAATATGGTATAAAATAATTAAATGAAATACTGTGCACCTGCCGGCATTTCCACTTACCCGTCATTACCTCGACACTTTGGAAAAACTCATCTGGATGCACGTAGCCCAATTGGGGCACAAAAACAAGAATTAGGCGGAGCAAAGCAAAGAAGAAATAGGTGCTCAGATGAACAGCCGTGGGGCTGCGTTTTTCCCACAGCTGCGCGAAGTGTCGGGTAACACGCATAATTTCGATAAATAAAATTTAATTTAAAAGTCAACTAGCTTTAATTTTAGATTTGTTTACAAAATACAAGTACATAACTAAAACTGTCTGGCAACGCCGAGTGAGAAAGGCAGAGATGGTAATGATTCGATATATCGTATGTTATACTCAAAAAGGCAATGTGTGTTACAGTTTGAGCACCACTGCATGACAACACGGCGCCAAAGTAGCCAGGGTGTTTAAATTATATGATAAGAAATGATTTTACAAATCAACATAAATATGTTTAACATTTATTTGTGCATATATCACTTACCGGCAGTTAAGCAGCTTAAACCTCAAGTGTGCTCGAACTCATTCAGTTACGCGGTAATTAGCAAGCAGCATGTAAATTTCATTTGCATCTAATTACAACAACTAGGCAGACGCGACTGTTGCTGCAGTTTCTGCTGCTACTGTGTCTCTTGGTGAGCCACCTTCACGCCGATGACGTATGCAAGCAGCTTGTGGTCGTAGGCGCTGGCTAGGAAATTCGATATCCGATTACAATTATATAAGTTTCGGGGCGTGTAATAGCTCATAAATGCATAGAGACGATGACGCGACACAAATTGTCATTTGTACAATAATCGCCAATGAGAAATGACTTGTGCTCAGGCTTAAAGCGGATCCAAATGCCCATTGACAGACGCGACGTCTGATCACAGCCCACGCCAAGAAATGGCAACAATAACAGCAAGTCCTCAACGTTCTACTCTGTCATGTCTAAATGATCAAAAGGTTGTGCCACAATGCCTCCGAGCAAAGCCTTATACCGCGCGTGACGTCACAGCTGTAAGCTTCTTTAAATAAGCCCCGCTTACAAAAGCTCGCAGCTGTGAGGTAAGCATCAGCGAGCATGAGCGCAAATATTGGACACATGCTGGCGTTACCTGTCGATCGCCCAATGGCGAATCTCACCTACCTCAACCGTATAAAACGTGCGCCGCGCAGGGCGCGCACAATCAGTATTCATTAGTAACCCCAGAAGAAAACGTCGCGTTGCCCGCGCCAAGCTCAATTGTAATTAAACTGATTTGTTTGACTTAAATAATTGAAACGAGCAGCTGCATGTGCTCGCAATATTTGCAATGAATTATTTCTGGAGCAAAAATTAGCATCGGCATAAAGTTCAGCCACATTAAATCTGTGTACGAAATGTGCGATTTATAGTTTTTCAATACATAAATAAATTAACAAATTCCATATTTTTTTTTATGGTGAAATGTGAAGTGTTTTGATTAGAACTGATTTCCTAGAAGTCTTGTGAGAGTTATGATTAAATTCTTGACATACCAATAGCAAACCCAACAAATGTGGCGCTCAATTTAAAGAAATTAAAACCTAACGATAATATAAATTTTAATAAATATATATATATTATAAATATAATAAAACCTAACGATATATAAAGTCTTGGTACAACACTGCACATATCTATAGAGTGTAGTTTTAATATTTAAACCGGTACGAAACTCAATAAACCTTAGTTGTTAATGTAAGGCCCAGAAT